ATCTGAAGTGTGAGGAGTAAAGATTTGTTCCCAGGATGTAGGCTCCCTATTTACCTCTCTTATTGTTTCTCTTGCTGAGAAAAACTTTTTAGTTTGAGTAAGTCCCATTTGTTGATTTTAGCTTGTGTTTTTGCACCTCCTTTCTGATTAGGCTCCTCAGCAGCCTCGTGCGGCAGAAACCATCTGCAACAGAGGCGCAGTTCCAGTGGGTACTTGTGGACTTCACGCACCTGGTGGAGATGTGCTGCCATGCAGAGGAAAGTGACATGTGTTTTCAGAAAGAGGTAACTGTATTTCCTTGTTTATCCTTAAACAGGAATGTTACTGCGAGGAAAAAACCTTTCCTCACTGCAATCATGAAAAGGTTAGAACATCAGGCCAGGTGGATTTGAGTAATTAACTATATTTCATCTTGGAATAGTTGGATATTTATGTGTATTTGAAGAAATTTGGCACAAATAGAGATGCATACAGCAGTCATGACACCAGATAGACTGGGAATGTTTAGCATTGGGTATGACAAGAAGGAGGAATCCATGTAACTATAGAGAAATTATGTCCTTGGAAAATACAGAAGAATTAATTTTTTTTTTTGCACAAAATTAACAGTTTAAAAACCTGTCTGGGAAATCTGGAGATTTGTTTTAAAAACGTAGGGGCACAATCAGGTCACTAACTATGTTTGGGAGAGAAACTAGGGAACCAGGTAAACAGATTTTATTTTCGCAGTGGTCAGAAGTTCATGAGAACAGGAGTTAAAGAACAAACAGGACAGAGCACTGAGAGGATCAAGAGACCTGTGTGAACACACACCCCAAGCTAACTACCAGGACAGTATTTTCTTTAATTTATCTAATTGCATGTAATTAACAAGTAAATTATTTTTCACAAGTTGGTGAATTATGCAACTTACATTGCAAAGAAAATCTTGGTAGGATGTGCCACAGCAAATTCATATAAACTCACCAAAGGGAAATTAATGCAGGAGTACCTGGGTTGGACCGGCAGAGACATGAACTCAGGAGCAGAAATTAAAGTACAGCAGGTGATAGAATCTGAGTACAGGAAGGTGAGTATGTGGTTAACAAAAAGAGAGGAAGTATCTTGATGCTTTGGCAGGCCAGGCTGGGGCTGATTAGGAGTAAGGGTAAGTTCAGCAATGGCCCTGGATAACACTTTCAAAAGTAATAATTTTCACTACTGCCTTAATTACCTGCAGTGGCTTCTTTCCATTATTCAGCTAAACTTTGCATGTGTTTATATTGATATTCACATAGGTACAGATGCTCCTCAACTTATGATGGGGCTACATCCTTACAAGACCCTAAGTTGAAAATTTCACAAGTTGAAAATGTGTTTAATACACTCATCTTCAAACATCATATTGCAGCAACCCAGTACACTGTAGAGTGTGGTTGTTTACCCTTGTGATTGTGGGACTGACTGATGATACTCAGCATGTCTATATATAGTATAGCATATCACCAGCCTGGGCAAAGATCAGAATTAAAGTTCAAAGTGCTTTCTGCTGAAACTGTATGGCTTTCATACCATCATAAAGTCAAAATATCCTAAACCATCATAAGTAAGGGACCACATACATAGACTAGTCAAGGGCAGGCAAATGACAGTCCTCAGGATAAATCACTCCTGCTTCCTGTTTATGTATCGGTAAGAGTTTATTGGCAGATAGACTGCTGTGGTTTGGATGAAAGGTTCATGTGCTGGAAGCTTAGCTCCTAGTGTGGTCATGTTGAAGTGGTGGACCTACTGTCAGGGCTTGGTCATTGAGGGTACTGCCCTCAGAAGGGATTAATGTAGTTCTCATGGGACCGTAGTTATTTCCCACAACAGCAGGTAGTCATAGAAGAAGAAGCCTGACCCTTGAGTCTCTCTGGCTTCCAGTCTTCCATCTGGTCTCTCCATATATACTCCCACCATTATGTTATCTGTCAGGATGCTCCTACCAGAGGCCAGATAGTGCTATATGATCTTAATCCTTCAGCCTTCAAAACTGTGAGCCAAATAAACTTCTTCTCTTTCTACATTACCCATCCTCAATGGTTTTGTTATAGCAAGAGAATGCAGACGAAGGACAGATCCACGCATTAATTTATCGCGTGTCTATAGTTACTTTCTTGTTATAGTGGCAGAATAGTTAGGATAGAGAATATACGAACTACAAAACCCAAAATATTTACTATCTAGCTCTGCACAGAAAATGTTTGCTGACCTCTGGAACAGTACAAAATGTTTATTTTTAAATTCATTTTAACTTTCATAAAGCATTCAGAAAACATGTTCTCACCTGAGTAACAACCTCATATCCCACACATAAAAATACTTCCACTGAAGGGGCTGTGTCTGTAGATTCCCAAGGGAGTGTTTTTGAAGTGATCTTGCTTTTGAGGTTGAATTCTACTTGTTCAAATTATTTCATCAATAGTGTTACAGGAAGATTCCTGTTTCCTTTTACTTAAAGTTGTTTTCCTAAAAGAAAATTTCAATTGAATGATGAAAAAGGACAAATATTGTTCATTTTCTTTCCCTTCCTTCATTACTTTAGGATCTCTCCCAAAATTCAGGGGAAAAACAGAAGTTATAGGAAGAGTATGTCATTATAATTAAAATTAAAAATCCAGACAAAAATGCTTATTTTACATAATTATGCCAATCTCTGAAGTTTAGTCAGGTTTACCTTTGTGCAATTATTCAAAGGCAACATTCTCAAATTTTAGTGTATAACAGAATAACCTGTGAAAGCTTGTTAAAATGAAATAAATGTGTTGCACTTGGAGTTTCTGATTCAGTAGGTCTTGGGTGGGGACTGATCATTTGCATTTCTGACAAGCTCCTGGTGCTGCTGCTGCTGCTGATTTGGGCAACACATTTTCGGAAACGTTTTTCTAAGTGCTCCTAAATAATCATAACCTGCTTCTCCTCCTCTTCAGTATTTCCTTATGACTAACTCTTGGTGAGAAGTTGGAACAAGGACGGTAACAGAAATAAACAATTCAAAAATAACATAATTGTGAAAGAATTGGGGGACATAAAATATGAGGATAAGAAGACAATATATTCAAAATAACTGAATATAAAAATGCCTATTATACAAGGTAGGAATAGAATATGAAAATATTTTGGAATATTATCATTAAATGTTTTGCCTCTGGCTTCTGCATTTGTGGAAGGAGTCTGGGGTTGACTATAGTGCAAAGTAATAATACCCAGGAACTTCCCAGGAGTCTCTATGAAACCCAATCCCAGGAGTGAGAAGGCATAGGTGCTCCTAGGGCTGTAAAAGACTAACTGCTCCAAGGACCTACAAGGCATATACTTTGTTTTCTTTTCTGAGAAAATAGCAGTCAATTATGTGAGCCTGTTCTGCCTGTTGAAAGAAAAGTGGGCAAGCTTAAAACCTGCCTGTCCAGCTATATCTGTTGGGAGGGAAAGCAATTTATAGATAAGATGGAAGCCATATTTTAAGAAGTAAGCCCACAATAAAGGATACTTCTAAGGAGAAAAAGGAGAGACAAATTCAATATTACATTGTTGGCAAAAGTAAGAAGGAAACATAAAAGAGGGGAAAAATCAGGAGATTCAGATTATTTTATCTACACAGAGTGAAATAGTTTAGGGCGGATATAACCTGTTCAACCCCTTCACCAATTTACCAGTGTGAATTTGGGCTGTCCAGAGAAGAGGCATTATACATTTCGTGAAGTAATGTGAATTGTAGTCATTCGAAGGCTCAAAGAGAAAATTGTATTGACAGAAATTCTTTAGGCTACTCGCAGAAAATCCTCCCTGTGAGGAATGATAATTAAAGCCTGAGACATTAATCTACAAACCAATAAACTATGAGGATATTCTATTATGATCCCATATTCTGTTATCAGAATTCTGCTATGAAAATAACCAAGTTAATATGAATTAGCAGAAGCTTGGACAGGTTGAAATGCTGGTTTGAAAATAACATATGAAATTTAACAAAGAAGAAAAGGTAAAGTTTTGCTGTTGGATGAGACTTACTTAGCAGAAATTCATGTGAAGAAATCTGTTGGCTTTAATAGTCTATATGTAACCATGAGACTCACAGTTTGATTGCTCTACTGTCAAAGGTACTGCAATATTGGCATGCATTCCTGAAGGAAAACTATGATTGGATTACATACATTGATAACCTCAATTTATATTGATCTTATCATTTGGGGTTGCTATAATTCATTGTCTCTTGATATTCTACATCATTTTGAAAATGATAGAAGTAATACATAAATTTAGCAAAAGTTCAAGTAGAGGAGCAGAGTAGCTTCCTCACTTCCAAGAGGCAACCAATCTTAAATTTTCACTACTAGTAACCTGTGATTTTTATCATCCTTTCAATAGTGTTTTAAAATGTTACCATCACTTAAAAATACAGTGCACTTACACTCACTTCAGTCATCCTGTCTGTATCCAAAGACTCTCTGTGTGTATGTGTATGTGTGTGTATATGTGTGTGTGTGTGTTTATTGTTAGTTTTAATTGGTTATATTCTATTTCTGGATCCTTCAACTTAGCGTCTAATAATCCTCTGAGGACTTGATTGACATGTCTAAACTTCCTTTCATTTCTGTGCAACCTTTCCTATATTTTATCTTTATATTTTAAATATTTATTTTTTAGTTGTAGGTGACACAATATCTTTATTTCATTTTTATGTGGTGCTGTGTTTTGAACCTAGTGCCTCACGTGTGCTAAGCGAGCCCTCTACCACTGAGCCACAACCTCAGCCCACCTTTCCTATTTTTTAAAAAAGCTATTCTATGACTTCTGCTTTGTCCAGATTTATACATCCTGCCTTGTTTCTATAACATTTATGTCATTTGTTAATAGGTTGCTGCTGTAAGCTGGGAGCTATTAAACAGTCTATTCAATGGAATGTTTACTTGAAATATTATTTATAACAGTACCATGTTCTATGTTGACAAAACAACAAAGTCCCTACCTTCATCACACCACTAAAATATTTCAGGTTCTTACATAGTTTCTATGACAGAATATTCCATCAACTTAGAGCTGTATTTTGAAAACTCCTCTGGGTTAATGTTTCAGTTTGAATTAAGTTACTTTTAGATCCAAGTAGTATCTATCCACATGAATTTTCTTTTCACTGCAATCCTGGGTAAATTGGACTATTTCTATTATCCCATGTTGTGTTCTTTCTTGAATTCTTTTAAGTTTTGTTGGGCTGCATTTTTCAAGTTATGTCTGTCTTTTGTTATTTTTTTTCAGAATGAATACCTTGGAGAAAAACTTTTTGTTTTTTTTTTTGCATTTTTAAAGATTATTTTGGCCATATATTTGCATAGCACTTTTGCTGGTATGCCAGTGGGAATTCTTTAATTGTTAATTAAATTAAATTCTGGTTAATCTAACCTAGGTAAAAAATGAATTTATTTAAAGCACAATGGTGGCTTTAAGAATCTGTGGGAAGTTTGAAAAAATAGACTTGGCACTAGACAGGAACAAAAGCAGTGCAGAAATCAATGACTCTCTGGTCTTTTGCTGCTGATACATCTTTTTATGGTTGCTATTCTGAGATCCTATTTATCCACTTTGATATATTGGTCAATATTATTCCCAACTGCTTTCTTTTTTCTCACTAGAAATTCATCAACATCTCTTACACTGATAGTGCTTTTTTATAGTTTTTAAAACATTGACAGGGGTTTCTTCTCTTTTTGTATATTTTTATTGTTATTGCATTGTGATTGCAGAAAAGATGAGTAACACATTTTGAAAGGATATGGGAAATTGTTAAGTCCAGAGTATACAGAGTAGAAAATGGATTAAAAGCCATGTCATGGGGATATGGAGGAATACACTGGTAATACTTATCCTAAATCTGAGGGTGGGTGACATGATAGCAGTCCCCCAACAGGCCCAGCATCATAGGAAATCAAACAGTGAGAAATTTGAACTCCGTGTAAAGAAGATTTTTCTTTTCTATCCTCCACATTCCCTCACATGAGTCCATGTTTTACATAACCTGTAACTAATTCTTGGATGGGCCTCATCTCTAGCTGTGGCGTTATCATCACTGGTTTTATTTCATTCTGGGCCATTCTCATTATTAAAAATATTTTTCTTAGAGGCCTTTCTTTTACCTCATCTTAGTCAGAAACTTTTCTTTTTACAGAATTTTTTATCATAACAGAAATTTACCAGGGAACCATGGAATAAGTGTGGTCAGGAAGGACTGATGTAAGAAAAGATTGTTCAGAGAAATGGACAAGATTAAATATTGAAGGTCTTGGGTTACACTTATAAAGAACTTTCCCATGAAAATTGATTTAAAAAGTCATGGATTACCAAAGAAGCATCTTAACCTCCAGAAGCATTTATGAAAACAATCCTAAATAGATTCTAAAGTGTCTGAATGATTTAGTGTGGTACATTTTAAAGAGAGTAGGAGGAAGGACGAAATTAACAGTCTTCTAAAGATTTTCCACAGAGTCCCTGGGGCTCAAAGGATTGCTAGTCAGCTGTGCCTCTGTGTGTGTGTGTGTGTGTGTGTGTGTGTGTGTGTGTGTGTGTGTACCTTAACAGTGGGGTTCTGGGGCTCCATTTTCACTGTAGCTAAAGATCTCACTTCATCTGTCTAGGCTGCTACAAATTATTTTTATTTGAATAAAAACTGTACAAGTAAAAACTGAGGAGAACTGCTGGACTGAATATAGAGGTCTATTCACGTCCACATGCAGGGGTGGAAACATGTGATTCAGATCTGGTGCTGGTGTCTCTATACCTCACTGAGTGGTGAAGGGGGCCAGACTAGACTAGTTTTACAATTCAGTAAGAGGTTGATGCTAATGATCTGTTTATAACCTGCAGCAAAAGAGTACAACATTTTTGTGAGGAGAAAAAAAAATTTATATATATATATAATTGTCCCCAAAGTAGGACAGGGCTTAAAATGAATTGACTCTTTATGCTAAGGGACTAAGTCTGTGGGAAAGTACCTTGAAGAAAGGGTATAGTAGAGCCTATCTTGGAAATAGTAATTCCTGAAGGTTTTTCTACTTGGGGACCATAGTTGTTTAGATTTCTCGTTTTTTCTTTCCCATCCACCCCCTCACATTTGTGTTTATTTGCTTTTTTCTCTAGGGGTCAAAACTGATTGAAAAGTGCCAGTCCTTTCCTGGAAGGCTAAATAATGCCAGAAATTGTCAACGTAGGATCTTGGCTAAGAAGACCATTTTGTTTTTCACGAATAATGAAACTCATGTTGATTATTGAAAATAACAATTAACAAATAAATCTTTAGCACCTCACAATGTTATCCAAGAACACTGGCCGAGTGTATACTAAATATCTCCTTTCTACCGAGCAGAAAGCTACTTACCGAAACCCTCAGATGATCCACTCTCCTTTCCCTTTTCCTTTTAAGTTTTTGCCTCTGGAGAGCAGCAGGTAGAGGTAAAGGCTGCCATATCTAGCTGGGAACTGGCTGCTGGGCTTCCACCATGAAAAAGACCTCAAGGGTGATTTGGAATTCTGTCTATATCACTACTGAAAGTCAGTGGACTTAATTAAGCATGCTTTATCATAAAATTACCTTTTCCCAGATATGACACTGATATTGGTACCCTGGGCTTCTAATATATTGATATTAATTTGATCTTTATGTGATGATTAGTCTTTACCTTGGAAATCTTGCTATAAATAACCTAAAGAATTTATAATTTGAACTGATTTTTGCTTTTGCCAGATTCTTTTGTATAACGAAATAATCAGTAATATTTACTTTCTAAATAGATGCGTACTTTTGATTGGAGAAATACAGAAGAAAAATTTCAATGTCATTATGGTGCTCTTTATTTGATTTTAAATATTGTTTTTCTTCACCACTGTGATTTCAGTATGGTGATACACATTAGCAAATTAAATCCAATAAACAGTTGTGGACTTTATAATGTGTTCAGTTCACTATGCTAGATACTATAGGAAATAATATAAATATGAATATAGTAAGAACAAATTTCTAACGAATTAATATTAGATATAAGCACATAGGAATTATAATAAAAGGCAAATTTCACATTTCTGTTTTTACAACAGTAGTGAACTGTCATTGTGGTGTACAGGGATTTGAGATCATATATTGTCATTGAAAGAAGTGGCCCTAGACCAGCTCTAGAAAGTGGGAACAGTTAGTTTCAACAGAGATGTGAGGAAGGTCTTCAGGGAGGGTGAGTGATCCATCTGGCTGTTTTTAAGACAGGAACTAAGTAATGGTGGACAGTAAGGCTTAGTGGAATAGAAAGCTGCAAGGGTGGGTAAGGATTTCTGCTGGTTTAACTGTACTATTTATCACATACTTCTCAAGTGCAAAGTGCCAGCTTTTCTGTGTATTATTCACATGACTCCCACAACCGTCCAATAGAGTAGGTGCAATAGGCTCTCCTTATTTCTGGGTTCCTCACCCATGGGTTCAATGAACTGCAGATGGAAAATATTTGAAAAACAATGGTGTCTGTACTGGACACGCACAGACTTTTTTCCTTGTCATTATTCCCTAAACAATATAACTACTATTCACATAATATTTACATTCTCTTAGGTAGCATAAGTAGTCAATAGATAATTTACAGGATGTGGGAGGATGTGGGTAGGTTATGTGCAAACACTATGTCATTTTATATAAGAGACTTGAGCATCCTCAGATTTTGGAATCTGAGGAAAGTCTTGACGCCAATCCCCCACAGATACTGAGGGATGACTGTACCATGGTTCCCATTATATAAGTGAGGACACATAAAAAGAATTCCAGACTGAAAGAGCCTGGTTGAAAGTGAGGACCTAGATGATGGGTGCTAAGAGTATGGATTCTAGAGTCAGAGGTGTGAATCCTACCTATTCCTTCTACTAAAGATCTTAGCAATCTTCTTACCTCTTCATGGATTACTTTTCTCATCTATAACATGGACTTGAAAGAATAATGTCTTCATTGGGATTAAGTGTCTTCATTTGCATTAAATGAGTCAATATATGTAAAGCACTTAAAATAGTACCTAGTGAGTGGTAAATGTATTAGGCAGAACTATATGAAATTGCTCTTTTCTAAGTCAAATATTGATAATTTTAGGTGGCTCAATCCAATAAGTGTTAACATATTATTAAGAAGGCAAATAGATGCCATTGAAGGGTTTTGCCCTCCCTGGTTGCATCCTATTCTCCTTTCCTTTCCTATGTACTTACCTCAGCCTAATAATTATAACTCCTAGCTTTTTCTCTTATCAATTGCCTTGCAAATGGAGTTCTTTCTACTTCAGTTCCTGAAAGCAATCTGAATAGCCCCAAAATCCATAAGAACACTGCTTAACTGTCTTTCACAGAGCCATGAGATAATAAAATATACTCCCATATTAGGGAAAATCACTTACCAGAGTTTCTATATTTCTTTAGCTATTGGAGCAAACTGGGAAAAAAGCATACTTATAAAGGACATTTTATAAAAATATTTAATAATAAATATTTAATAATTTACTCATTCATTCACTAATTCACTAATTACTTTATTCAACTTATTTTTATCGAGCACATCCTATATACAAGGCACCATATGAAGTACAACCAAGTATATAAAGATGAATGTGACAGGTTCTCTACTGTTAGTAAGAATAATAAATTATCTAGAGTTTAATTTGATCAATATATAAATGGTGAAGTTTTTTAACTACATAAAACAAGAAAAATGTGTTTGTGACAAAACTTTGTAGTATTATGCAAAATAACTCTTAAATAAACAGATTTTTGCCTCAGAAATTGTGTTAGTTGTTTATTTCCATATAATGAGCTATCCTAAAATTTAGCAGCATATCACAGCAAGCCTTTATTCTCTGTTTCCAAGGATCAGAAATCCAGCAGTGATTGCACTGAGTTTTCTGGTTCTGGGTCTTGCATGAGTTGCAGTCAAACTATTAGATGGGGTAAAGTTATCTCAAGACTTGACAGAAGGTGGAAGATCCATTTCAAACTGGTCCATTTATGTAGCTATTGACGGGAGGCCTGGATTTCTTGCTAGCTTTTGACAGAGGTGTAAGGCCTCGTGTAATGCCTCATCAGGTAAGTCTTTTCCTAAGACTACTTAGGCCATGAGAGTTGTTCCCCTAGAGCAAGAGAGAGAGAGAGAGAGAGAGAGAGAGAGAGAGAGAAAACGCGAGAGAGCGCAAAGAGGAAGCCACAGTGACTTTTTATGATTTAATCTTCAAAGTCTCACATGCTTCCTTTTGCTTTCCCTTGTTAGAAGCCAGTCACTAATTATTTTAAAAGAGTAGATTTTAAATATACTAATCATAAAGAAATGATAAGTATGTGAAGTGTTGGATATATTAATTAACTTGATTTAATCATCCCACAATGTATACATATAACATCACATCGAACCCTATATAGAATAGCTAATTTTCAATTAAAAGTAAAAAGAAATCAGTAAGTCCAACTCAATCACAGGTGAGGAGGATTAGGCTGCATTTTTTGAGAGGAAAAGTACCAAAGATTTTATGGATGTATCACAAGTTCAAGTCCAGTCTGGGCAACTAAGTGAGACCCTACCCCCAAATAAAAATGAAACAAAATGAATATTAAAAAATAAAAAGGGCTAGGGATGTATCTCAGTGGCAGAGTGCCCATGGGTTCAATCCTTCGTACCATAAACATACATACACACACAGAGAAAAAAAAAACCATTTAACACATTTATTATAGAACGCTTAATAAGTATAGCAAAACTAGAAATACATAATCACTCATAATTCTGTAGTACAGACAAAATTACATTTAACATTCTTTTTTTGTGTGTACACATACAAATATTAGTGTGTGCATGTACACATATAAACACATGTATCTGGTTGATAATAAATATTTTGCAATATGTATATATTCTTACTTAACTATATAAAGAAAATTTAGCTCTATAATTCAAATTTGGAAAAAAAAATTAATGACCACATAACATTTTCTGAGTAAATGTGTTGTTTCTTCTTAAATCTTTTTCCTATTTTTTGGACATTTATGTTTTTCACTTCCTTTTGTCACAATAAATGACATTATATTTGAAGAATGTCTTTGCATCTCTATTTCTATATAAGATCTTTCATGTAGAATTATAGAATAAGCTTACTATTAACTCTTGTCTTCAAAAAAAAATCACACCTATTTGTATTTCTATCATTTGTCGGGGTGCCCATCTCATTGTGATTTATTGAGTAGTTAACATTTCTTTATCTTTGCTAATAGAATTTGTCTTCTGTTGACATGCTAGTTACTATGTTATTGTTTTTCAACTCCAAGTTCAGTTCGTTGCCTGCTGTTATGAAAATGAGCATCAGCACTTTAAATGTTTCCTTTGCAGTTTACATGATGTCATGCTTTGCCAGCAGAGGGCGATGCAGGTGAAAGGAGGCTTTCTTAATTCCTAGGAGCTGGCAGGCCAGATTCCCGGATATAGGACTTTGCTTCACCACTCTGCTCAGAGTGGTTTCTCCAGCCCAAGTTGCCTGTAGGGTGCAGCTTTCTTCAGCATTTGTTTCTCCATCTGCTTCTCCAGCTTTTGATTTGGGCAATGATGGTCTACCCTGAAGCCCAGGTACAGGCCTCTTCCTTGGCTCAAATTGCTGCTGTCACATCTGAGCACAGTGTCTGCTTGCAGACTCAAGGGGTCAGTGATCTAGCGTGCTTCTTTCCTGGCATTTGTTCCATGCAGCCTCGAAGATGCCCCAGCCTAAATCTTATACAGTATTATTCTAGATTCCTGCAAAACAGCCCCTTCAGCTCCTAGTCTTCGTGCCCACCTTCAACAAAGCTCCTAGTCCCCCTGTGTATCTCCCTCATCTAGTCACACTCCAAAGGTTAGTTCCTGCTTGCCCAGCAAGTGTGCTGCTGTTCTGGCCTGGGCAGCCTCCCTAACTTCTATCCAGGGGGCTGCAACCACACCATTCCCAGTAAATTCTGAAATCCTCATTCCAATTTCTTCCTTTTTAGGGTTGTCTCCCTCAGCCTTAGGTACCCTTTCACGTTCTCTTACCATCTTTACACATACTCTCCGATCATGACTTCATAATTCTTTGTTTAAGTTACTGTATGTTTCTGTCTGCTGATTGAGCACATACACAAAGAGGTGATCACTGTTAAAGATACAACTTTTTCCCTATACTCAGTTGCCATTTGTACTTCCTCATCTGGGATTTTTCTTTTCATATCATTTCATAACATATATCTTTTTATTTTCTATGCAAGGCTTGGTACTTATGCATTTTGTAGATTTTCAATATGTTAATGTTTATCATTTATAGAAGGCACTTGATATTGCCTTAATTTTTTAAAGTAGTTTGAATTTTAACTATCACATTTATCTTATTTTAGTGAGACAAAACTATTTTCCTATTAACTCATTGATGATAAAAGTAGAAGCCTCTTTTTTACTCAGTAAAAGAGTAACAGAAAAAGTCATAGTACACTTTCATTTTCAACCAATTCAGATTTTTGTGATAATGGTAAGTAATACCTCTGTCTTAAAAATGTTTCACATTTTAATGTTAATAATTAATCTTTCACCTGGGTTTATTACATACAACCTTATTCCTTAGAATATGCAATGACCAACAATATAACACAATGCTTATGAAAAATTCAAGTGGAAGTAGTTTGGGGAGTGGAAGAATGTTGCACCATTCTTCATTTTAATACAGATTCATAAATAAAATCATAGCTGGAACTTGTAGCATTTCTTTCTTCTGAGCGTGTTTTTTCAAGATGAGCTTAGCAGATTGTAAGTACCTCAAGTGTGTCTTGTAGAACAGGGTGCTTCGACAGCACAGCTCCAGACCTCTGCCTGGCACAGCCACCGGAGCTTTGCTTTATCCACTGTACTCATTCAGCCAAAAATAGATATTTGTGGCCAAGTCTGGTTTTATCTAATGCAATATATTAAGTCTTTGTGGTATATTTGCTTGGAAAAATAAAGAAAGGGAGTTCAATTTTAAGAATAGTTTTGAAAGTGCTTAGTAGAGCAGAGAAAGAAAAAAGGGCCAAGACTGAGAAAATGATAATTTGGATCTCTTAGCAGACTCCATAATCTTTTCCTTCCCAAAAGATAGATAGCTGTAATATTACAGTCATCAACTCAAAGAGACACAATCCTGGCTTTAATGAAAATGTCAGCTTGTTCAAGGAGATGTGGAACACCGTGACTGTCAGCTCCTTGATGGTGTAAGAATGTGATTCTCGTTCATTTCAAGAACTGGCAGTTTTTACTTCCAGTCATTTCTCTGTTAGTTGCTGATATTTCAGTTCTCTTGAGAATTCAAGCAGAAAGAAGTTTGACCTGCATAATATCTAAAAATGCCACCTAAACTTATGTTCATTACACATTTTACGATAATAGATATTTTTGGAATACACAGTATCCAAAATTATTTCAGTTACTGAAACTAGATTTGAACTCATTTTAGTCTAAACATGAACCCTGGTTAACCTCATCACTTCAAAGAAAAACAAGCTGTTTCAACATTTGGTTTTCTACCAGTTCAAAGTCACAGGTAATGGTTTGAAGGCTAGTGCAGACTTTATGCATTTGTCAAATAGCAATCTCTCTGTAATTCTGTTGACATGTTTTAGTAATAGAGGCCTGTATTACTAAACTGTCGTCTCTGTTTTTACTTTCCGTTTACTTTGAAGACATTTCAGTAGAATGGCCTTTTCTGTGTGGAATCTGAAAATGAGAAGTAGGAGAGAGTATTAAAAACCGGACTCATACTGTGCATTCAGTCTTTTAAAAGGACCAAGTGCCCAGGTGCACACACTTGACTTACTTTGCTATCGTTTTTTGAATCTCTCTCTTCTCTTCTTCATTTAATCTTTGAAGAATGGACTCCAAGAGGGAAAAATGAAAGTTAATGTATTGCGCCACCTGAGAAAGAAAACACATACAAAAAAAGAAAGCAGAACATTTATGTGAGAAGTGCTGAGTCAGGAGAGAAGATGCAGAGGCAGGTTCAGGGTGGTCATATCCATACATCACTGCTAATTTCTTCTGCATCTTTATCCATGAGAAAAATTCGAGCATTGTTTTTGGAAGGTCCTTGTAGAAGCCTCTGCAGTAGTGGGATATCTGTCTTTTTTAGCCGTCTCTGCTCTGTAAATGAAAATAAGAATCAACCACATTCAGGGACATTACTAGAGAAAAAGAATAAAGATGATTTTTCCCATTCACTTTCTTTGTCTCATTTCGGAAAAAATAGACCTAAAGAGAACAACAACAGGAAGCTCTCACTTGAAGTGGAACAGTATCCCCTCCCCACCCCCCCCCACCCCTACCCCTCCTCTGCTCCCCTGGTTTGGAGCAGGTGTTCCAAGACTCCAGTGGGTGAAACTGCAGACAGTACCAAATCTTACACATGGCATGTCTTTTTCTTATACACACATACCTATGATAAAGTTTAATTTATAAATTAGGCACAATAAGAGATTGGCACTAATAATAAAGTATAAAACTGTAACAAAATATATTCTAATAATATCGTCTGCATCACTACTCTGAGGCCATTATTAAGTAAATAAGGGTTATTTGAACACAAGCCCTGTGGGACCTGTGGGACCTCAGCAGTTGATGAGTAAGAAAGAGATAATCAGGTCAGAGAGAAATGGGAGGCAGTGATCACTACCCTAATAGACACAGCAAGAAGAGAAAATGAAAAAGATAGATGTGCAGAGGTGGACAGAGATATAATTGCCTAACACTTCCTGGAGAACCCTCAGTGGACCCCCAGGGGTTCTGATCCCCATTCAGATAATCGAATGGCCACTAAGAAAACTCTTAAGTATTATAAATTCTTTGAGGATACTTCAACTTTAGATTATCTTTCTCTGACATTGAAGGACATAAGTATTGTTCTAAAACCCTCTTCTCTTTCTCCTACCTTTCCTCTTTTTTTCCCCACAGAATGAGGTCATTATAATACACTGGAGTCAGGTGCAAAGAATGATCAAGCTTTCTTACCTCCTGTTGAAAAAATAATGTAAAGAGCAAAATCCTGAGGACTATTCTCAATCTGTCAATGGAAAAAAATTGACAGACATGATTCTTTGTTTTCATGATATTTTCTAAGCCAACCAACCCCAAATTATGCATTTATATCCTCACTTCCCTTTTTTACTCTCAAACATAAAACCTCTGCCCTCTTGGAAATAATGTGATTTCTTAGGGCATCATTACTAAATGGTGTTAGACAAAGGAAAGACTCCTTCAGAACTGAACATACAATTTAGATTTGCATGTTCACGGGTCTTTTCAGAAGAGTGCATTTATTCGTCCACAGTTAAATTATATTAAAGATATGTATAGCTCTGCTTAGTATAAAGAGTACCTTAAATTTTTGGAGAAGTTGCTTTATTACTTCTTCAGTTGTCATGGTACTGTTTATTCTGACCTTAGTTTCTGATCCAAAGGCCGGGGTGAAAATTGATGTCTGGGAAAAAAATGTCATATAAGTTCTTTAAATTATATAAAGCTAACAAAAATCATACTGTGAATCTGAAGTGGACAGAATATATAATTCCTGAAAGTGATGACATTATTTCACAGGATATTCTAGAATTCTCAAATAACTAATTATTTAACATAGTCTTGACAATGTATCAAACTCTTCTAGACCCTTTATAAATACTTACTAAATTAATTTTTTAACACAATAATAAAATAAAACTAATTTTAAATTTTATGATACAAGTGACATATGCTTAAATTAAGGAGAAAAAGTAATACGTAAGTGGAGACTCAAAAGTAGGTAACTAATGGTGTGTGCACACTTTATTACACTCATCTTGGAGGAAATATAACTCTGTGTGCCAGAGCAATAAATGGGGAAATGCTTAGTTTGCTTCATTTTATTTAATCCCACCAACAACCTTGTAAATCAGGAAACTATGGAAGAAACCAGGACCAAGAGATTGGGCAACTTATTAACTTTGTTTTACAAAACTTGAAATCATGTTATCAAGCTCCAGAGCTCAAACACTTAACAACTATGTTAAGATGACAGTTTAGTGCTATTTTCATTCCCAGCACAAGTGATTTATTTGGAAGCCACTCATTTGTAGCAACATTTCTTCAACACAGATCAGCCGACAAGATGATGACATATAGCATAATTGCTGAGGACAGAAAGAAACCAGGACAATTGGTAGGTAAATATCTGTGGAGAACGCTTAACGCTACTTTATAGGTAGGAGGATAGTTATTGAAACCAGAAAAAAATGTTTAATTTGAACAAAAGATTGAGAAGAGAGGTTTCTCCCCACCGGGTTCCAAAAACAGTACTGATAGCCTCCCAGCTGCAGAAAATAAGCAATAATGTAGAAAATCCTATAGTAAAAACCCTACAGAGAAATCAGTTGATATTTCTGATTGAAGGTGCAGAAGGTACTTGATATAGTTAAGTGCTTTTAAAGTATGTGTTTAAAAATGCATAAATGATTACTAAAGCATATGACATAAAAATATTTGAGTATTAGAAAAGAACGATATATTTCCTACTTTCAGCAAAATGAAATGTCTTATAAGTACTAACGGAAAGACATACATAAATATAGTATACATTAGTGGCAGGTAAGAACACAAATTTTATCTAAACCATAACCACATATTCATTACAAAAATATGTGTGCAGGTACAAAACTTGAAAGAGAAAAAGAAGAAGTTGTGCTCCATTTGTGTACTATATGTCAAAATTCATTCTATTGTAAAATTGATTAATTAATTAATTTTAAAAAGAGAATAAGTAAAATAAGAAGTTTGATTTATTAGAATAAATAGGTTTGTGGCTGACTTTCCCTTTTATTTAAATGTTAATATTCAAGTGTCCTTTGAGCCAACTTCCATGGTATTCTTTGCATTATTCTGACATTATCTCTTGATATTTTTATTTCCCTGTGCAAGTTCTGTGCTTCATGCTGGCAGAGGCACCCATTGACCCATTGTTATATTTCTAACACCAGCTTAATTCCTGACACTTAAGTGGAGTTCAACCACCACACTGATTAATAACTTGGGTTCTGGAATCAGACAAATCTGGACTCAAATTTAGAGCTAATACTTAAAAGCAGTGTGCTCTAAGACAAATGATTTAACCTCTGTGAACCTCAATGAACTCATATGTAAAGAAGAGAAAATAGTTGTACCTACTTCATAGGATAGCTCTAGAGGTTAATGAGATAATTCATCAAAAATCTATTTGAAACAGTTTAGAGCTAGCACATAGGGAGTGCCCAGTGAAAGTTAGATAGACTACTGCCATTGTTATTATTAATATATTAAATTTTAAGTTGAATTGAGTGGCATTCAACTTTTGTTAGAGCAATAGACAACATTGTTTTAAATCACATTAATGGAACTGTGACTCACTCACTTCATGGTTATAGAAGTGTCCATTAATAGAGGCCCGATGGCTCTGTCTGTCTTTTCGGTCCATCATTGGAGGCTTCCTTCTTTTTCTTACCAGGGCTGCTTCACTCATGGTTCTATAGAGCAATGGGGACTCTGGTTCTTCATATGCATATGGCTTCAGAGTACTGCTGTGATAAGATAAATAGTCTGGGAAGAATAAAGATCATAAGCCCATATCATTTAGCTGCCCATCTCCTTGTATCCTAGGAAGATTGGGATATGTTTTATTTAATTTTGAGAATATTGCTATTTCTCTACATATTTACTTTCTAAATATTGTCAGGGATTGGTCAAACAGCAAATTCTCTCAGTGAATTGTGTCTCACATGAAATGATCACAACAATCACATGTTTGGGGGCGGGGCATTCTTTCAATGTTAATTTAGTGTGAATAGTAAATTCTATAGAATTTCAGAATATTAGAGATGAAAAAACTTAATATTCTATTAATCTGATCTCATATTGATAAGATAAAGCACAATGAGTTGAAGTGACTTTTCTGTGAACACAGTACCTTGAAATTATGGAGTCAAGTCTGGATCTCGGTTTTACATTTACTCCTGAGAAGATGGACATTGGCCCTAAAAATTCTATAGATGCTTGGTTAAGCCAAAATGGTTAAGCCATTTTTAACGTATGTAGGTATCTTGAAAGATTTTGTTCCCATCTTTTATAAAAGCAAAAGTAGCAATATGCTTTGGACAGATATCTGCTAGTAACATATCAGATAATTCATAAAATCTTTCTAGACGTTCTAGGAATACAATTTGGTTTTTCCCCTTAATTGACCACTATCCTATTGTTTCTTGTCATTGGGCCATGTGAATTCAACAATGACCCACACTCTAGTCAAAATTTGGTTATTCTGTCATTCCTATTCATATACCAGATTTTAGAATATAAAATTATAGTAAAGCTTCAGACTGACCTAGTTACCATTGGGTATACTGTAACCGTTAAATGAAATTGGACTGAGCAGCAATGTATTCCTAGTCTAAAGATGCAGAAGATTCAAAACTGCCTTCAGTATTTTTTCCAACTTTCTCAACTGGTTTTTCTGTAAGAACTGGGCCATCTGGTACCATCTGTGTTCTATTTTACTTTGGAATCTTAAATAATTTTCTATTGTGACTAGAGTACCATCAAATAGGTAAGAGTTATTTAATCTTGCTCTGAAACTAGGGCATAAATACAAATAGACTTTTGTGGTAGCTTTGGTGCCTGATATTAAGATTCCTTTGGATTTAATGATGATTTTCAAAGAGATAATTGGATGGGCCTATAGATAATAGATCCTATAAAACAAGATAAGGGAAACTTGAAAAAAATATCACGTTTTGTTACAGTATCTGAGACCTTATGGAGAGAGTGGAGGAAACAGAATTAAGAAGGGTTTAAAAACAAAACTAAAAAACAAACACTGGAAGTTGTTGGTAAGCTTTTGAATTCAACACCAGCTGCATGCCCCTTGATCAGTCTGAACCTAGGCTGGAAATATCAAATCCCCAGTTTAGGTGTGTGAACCCTGCTGCCCTGGTCCCCAGCTTCAGTTATCAAATCCTTTTTGGATCTCTATATGTGAGAAGTACATAAAAAATATCCATTTAAAATATAAAATATCATGACTGACACTTGGCAGAGTCTCACTAAATTATAGTTATAATAATCATTATTATTACTACCACTGTCACATAATCATCATTATTATTGCAATTACTGACATCACATGTCATAGGAATTGGCATTTTCCATTGGATCCTCAAGTTTGATAGTTGACCATTTGATATTTAAGTAGATTTATCTTTTAAAAATTAAAATAACTACCAAATATAAAAGTGATTATAGCATATTTGCCTCTTTCTAAGCAGCAATACTACTTAAATATCTATTAACTAAAATGTTCAACGTCTAAAAACAATGTGATATTAGCTCTGAGGGACTTGGTCTAACATGAAGCTAATGAGAATAATAAATGGCTCTAATCCTCAGGGAAAATAGTGAACACTTAACAATACAAACTTTGTTCAAACCATTAGCTCTAGGTAATCTAATAAAGCTAAGGGACTCGATGTAATTTTTTAAAAGGTCAACATATTTTTATATAGCAAAATAAGGTTCTTGAACATCATATTGTAGAAACTTAAATTACTATGCTTCTAGGAGATTTTAAAGAAATACTTATCTGTATATATTTCTTTTAATTCATATATATTTCATATATATGTGTGTGTATATACCTGTGTGTGTGTGTATGGCAAGAGTTTACTGAGTAGTGGTCTGTAGAAAGAAACATTTAGGAGTCAGGTTTTACACTGATTAAAAATAAAGTCTCCCCATTAACAAGTTTTGATACTGACCTTCCTGGGAATTGCTTGCTTCAGACAATGGAATCTGGGTCCTCTCCAGCTCACTGATATGATAAAGATCATCAAATTCCCCCCAGCGTGTCATTCTCCTAAATAGTAATAAATCTTGTAAATGTCATCAATTTCATTTGTATTGAAACTCAAGATAGTTTTCAGATTTATAATATTAATATAATACTTGTAAGTTTTTGTAGGTAGACATATTATTCAAAATTATAAAAATTTTACGATGCTATTAACATTATATTCATATCAAAGTGGGCAGTATGTGTTTTAAATACTTCCTGAACTTTTTTTGGAGCCACATCTTGATATCTTTAATGTAATAATTCAGTTATACACTGAAACACAAGGTTATATAGAATCTATGACGCATATATGCAAATATAATTGACCGAAACCAATATGATTCATTTTTACAAGCATACCTCACTATATTCTTAGGAGAGTTTAGATACGAAAGTGTTCATGTTCATTCCACCAATATGTATTGAGTGTACCTATTGTATTAAAATGATTATTATGTAAAGTAACTCTAAAATAATAAGATATAGTGCCTAATAATAAGATATAGTACCCTGACCACATGAAAAACACAAAGGAGGAAAATGTATGAGAAACTCTGTCTATATTATGATTTATTTTGGAATATAGAAATTTTCTATGTATTCTGGTGCCATGAGTAAATGAAACCTGCTTATTTTTGCAGCAGGCTAACACTTATTTTATTTATCTGATCTTAAACAAGTTACTTATCATTTCTTGGCCTTAGTGTTATCTGTAAAATGGAGATGGTGATGATATGAGATAGGATGGGGTGCCTGTACTGATTAAATGAATTAATTCATATAAAGTTCTTGAAATGGTGCCCTGAATAATACTTAACGTATGATACATACTTAGTATATATCTAAAACTTATCAGAATTGTCTTCCTCTTCATCACCACCATCTGAATCCATTTCCATGGGTTAAGCACAACTGGGATCCACATATTCCTGAATCTCTTGGGGGAAATGAACACTGTTATTTATGGAAACAGTCTTAGTCCCAATAAGGACATCTTCCATAATATCTGTGTATTGTGAACAAAAACATATTCACCCTAGGGAGTACGTGACATTAACACTACCAAAATGTCATTGATAGAGTATGTGGAGGGAAACCTGTTAATACTAATGGTAGAGAATGTGAAAAAAAAAAAATCATTCTTGTTTTTCCTCGACTTCTGAATTATTCAGAACTCTTTTCCAGCTATTTTATCAATTCATCTCACAATAGGCATAAGAAATAGATAACACAATCCTGATATATTTGTTAATGAATTTTGTCCAGAATATAGTTAGTTGGTTAAAATAAATGATATAAAGGCCAAATACTACATGTAATAACTTAACTCAAAGGAGAACTACTCAGGTCCTAATGTGGAATCTAATTATTCTCACATTATATAAAAATTATCCACTTACAATCTAATCTATAGCAGATTAATAATCAAAAGAGGGCAGGTTTAGTTATCAGAAAAAGAGGGTAATCAGTAGAAAAGATGGAATTCCACGGAAAAGCAGAAACTAAATGGCCAAGCAACCTGATGCTATTTCATATGGGGGATGTAAGAATTCCCAGGATGCCAGACCAGTGATGTGCAATACAAATTATTGGTGACTCTGGAAAACTTGTCAGCTGTCCTCTTCTTCAGTTTAAAGGTGCCACACCGACACAGGAGTTCAAACATGGCTCAGTATATATAGTGTTAGGTTTATTTTCTTCCTTACCATCTACAGCTGAAAAAAAGACTTTTAAGCTGTGTATTGTGTAATTTGAGTGGCATTCTGTACAACTGTACACATGACTAAGCTTGAGGGCAGTTACCCAGTGTTTTCAAGAGAGAACTGGTTGGAAATTTAATATCAAATAGTTTAACTTGCCCAAACACAGGACTGTTTGAATTGCTCTAACCAAACTTCAGGATGTGTACCATTTGCAAATTTAAACTCTAAGGAGGTTTCCTAATGAGTTGCAAAATAAAATGGAAGTAGAAATTTGATAGACAAATAGAAGCACTTCCCTAACCATATGGTAAAAAAATAAAAACAGTACTAGTGCTATTCAAATATGCACCTGTCCTGTTTCTACTCTTTACCTCATTCTGCCATGACTTGTTCAAAACATGACAATACTGATTTTGAAAAAATATTAAAAATAGCAATGAAAAGTAGTGCAATCAAAAATAACCTCAATGAAGCTGTTCTTTCCTTTCCTTTTCTTTTCCTCTTCTTCTTTTTTATTTTTACTTTTTGAATGGAAAATTTTCAAAGAGAACACTTGGCCCAGATATGAGAGATCAAAATGTTGCTCATAGATTCATGTCTATAATGAATCACAAGTGGTCAGAACTCAAACAAATTTATTTTTTTGTTGCTACAACTCCTATGTAACTGCTACTTCCTCAGTGTGACTCATTTTTAACGTAATTAAAACAAACTAGCATGACAGGACTGACGATTCTCTCAAACAGTGAACTGAAAGACACGCAATTGCAGCCCTTCCTGCAGCTGGATACACAACAACCATGACCTTTCCTGCTCGTTCACCCACTGGAGATACCAAGTCCATGTTCTTACAAGAGCAGAGGTGTTAAGTTCTGCCTGCAGGTGCCCTGAATGGAAAAAGGCCCTTTGGAAAAACCTTGGGGGAGGGGCTAGTCAATTTCTTTACACAATCAAATAGAGGCTTAGAATTTAAATGAGTCAACCAGAGTGGTAACCAGAATTAGGACATTTAAGATTGGATTAAAACAAAGAATGATACTTAAGTTTGGCTATGCACCCCATGAGAGAACCAGAGACCACTGAAAAGCCATTCCAAGTTATGCTTTGTCTTCCAGTGTGAATGTTCAGCTCATTTTCACCAAGTATTTTTGACTTATTAATCACAATCAAATCTAATTTTGCTCTTATGTGTGTGAGAATCTAAGTGTTTGTGAAAGGAGTGCCACTGTTTCCTGCTAGTTCTTGTCCACCCCAAATATCTGATATTCTGCAAAAGCATACTTCAGATATTCTAGTAAGTCTTGTTACTATGGTAAAGGCAATCTGATGTAGTTTTCTAAGTAATTCCTTTTCAACTTTAAACAATAGGAGATCAATGTTCTGGTAAACAATGAAAAATTCAAATTCAAATTCAGGTTCCATAGAAGGTACAGCATAAGGGTATCATCTTATAATCTGCCTCAGTATATAGAATAACATTAATATTACCTTGCCTACCTGGGATCTTGAAAGTTATCCAAAAATTTAGAGTATTAGGAACAAGTATTTTGAATTTCAGAAATTAAAAAATATCTTGCGATAGCCACTCAAAATAATGATGGTTTACTGTGATATTGCAAGTACTTTCCTTCCATCTCCTTGACATCTTCCTTTAATTTAATGCACCACACTTATTAAGTTTTCATGAGTCAAAAAATGAAAATGCATCAAAAGGAGCTAGCTGCTCAGAGAAATTTGCCATGAGTTTTTAGATAATATGAAATTCAATGGCTAATTTTGTGAATTTGTATCTTATAAAGTTGAGTAATTTGATGCTCCTAAACATTTAAATCATCAGTACTATTGTTAACAACAGCCAAGCCAGGGAACCTGCCTGGATCCCAGCTGGCTGGATTTGGTCCCCTGCCTGCATAAAAAATAATCAAACGATAAAAAAAGTAAAAATGAATGAGACCCAGTTTGACCAAACATGGAGAGAAGCAGCTAGTTTATTGCTCCGTCAGTCCTACAGAAGTAGTTACGATTTTAGAAACAAAACTCAGGAAACGTACATATATAGATCTAGCTAGTCTGTGCTAGTCAGAAATATGTCACAGTTTCAGTTTCTTTGGTGCCTGCCAGGGCCAGGGGTACCTTCTCAGTTTCCATTTTTAGCATGAAGAAGTTCAGGAGCAAAAAGTGATTTGAAACTTTTAATTTCAAAGGGGCTCTGTTACACTATCAGTCATCTAGTACCTGAAGGAGATGATTGTAGGGCTTCGTGAGGCTGCCTGACTTTGGCTTGTCTTTTGCTTTTTCATAAGTGGTAGACCCTATGCCCACCCACAGTCCTTAGCTTAGATAGAAGACTAGTAAGAAGTGGCAGACAGAGAGACAGTGCTGTCATATAAAGAAGAAGTAATTTAATCAGTTTCTGGGTACCTCACTGGGAGACTGGAACACAAAGATGATTCCAGGTCTGTTGGGTACCATTTAGCAGCTCACACTGCAGAGAGGGAGATAGGTGTGTACAAATACAATGGAATGCATGCTCTAGAGGTGATATAGAGAAGTGGCCAGCTATACTGAGCATAGACTGAAAGATCAAGAAGGTTTTTTTTACCTGACCTGAGAATTAAAGGATTAGATACAAGAAAGTCAGGCAAATGGGTGTTGAGAAGCAGGTAGACTTCCAGGCAGAGTAAGATAGGCAAGGAAGGAACTTCAGAATATGTTTAGGGAATTACAAAACATTCAGCATTGCTGGAACATCATATTTGAGAAAAGGTAAAAATCATGGTGAGGCTTAAATATTTTCTCCAAAGGAAAAGCATACTCCCTTCAAGATAATACCTGGTTTTCCTTAGTTGTGGCCAAAGATCAGATGGGGCAAATTGTCTTGGCAGTTCTTTCTATACCCTCTCCTCCAATAGAACTCCAACTCATCCATTAGTGGATGGGAGGATGAAAGATGAGAAGAAATGGCTTAGGATCTGATGGCATATACAAAAGGGCGATGAGGCTAAGGATCAAAAGGAGAGAAGGGAAGGAAGGAAGGAAGGAAGGAAGGAAGGAAGGAAGGAAGGAAGGAAGGAAGGAAGGAAAAGAAGAAAAGAAGAAAAGAAAGGAACTTTTGTAAGTTTGATTCTTGCTGGGAATATTTATAAAATTTCCTAAAATTTGTAAGGGGTCACAAAAAAAAATCAGCCCAACTTTGATATTCAAGGTACAGTTACATAAATCCATACAAAACTGTGTTTTGTGTACTTATTTAACTTCAAATGTACTTTGTTGTGCTCTGTTAAACAGGATCAGGATAATTAGGTGGAGCATAATTAAGTCATCCTCCTGGAAAGCAAGAAAAGACTTGTTCCAAGGAGAGGATATATTTAAATTTTATGCCTCTTCCCATTTTTTTTTTTTTTTAGAGACCAGGCCATGAATAACTGGATTCTGCCTTTCTTCTTTGTCTCTTGCAATGAAGCCTGTGGTCTTCCAGGTGGGAGAAAAAGTCTGGAATCCATGGAATTAAAATAAAGTCTGTTTTTGTGGCATAGTCATTGGGAAATCTTGTACAAATTCCCAAATTCCAAAGAGCCCTGAACACTTAATTCATGGAGTTACTGGGGTATTGTATGAGGCTGTGTAAAAGCACATGCAATAAAATTGTTATGAAGATCATCTAAGGAATTAAAAGCATGAAAGATTGCTCACCCTTTGTTAGAAAATACATCTGGTGACTTTGACATAGTGAAAGAAGAGATTGGCTTGTCATCTTGTATTTTCAGCTGTATAGGTCGTTTCACTCCCCAGAAAATGTCCAGCATTCCTTCAACAATTAGTTTCCCATCTTCAGTCTAAGAAAGAAACCAATAGTCTCTATAGTTGTTTCTGTATTACTTTATAGAAGGTAAATGTTTTCACCAAAGTTATAGAAATTAAGTTCATAAGAAATGTTAAGAGGTTAAAAAAATCCTCAAAGTAATTATTTGACTTCTCAGTTTATCTGCAAAATAATTCTATCTTTGACACATTTTTTCAATTTTTGAAAACAGCTGTACCCAGCAAAGTGAGCAAGTTATAATGCTAACAGCATGTCCACCAGAGGGTAGAACACGGGAGAATGCTATCTGAACTCTATACTTCTTCAATTAAGTGGAATTCTAATGCTCTAATACTGTTTAAAATTGAAGCCTTTTAAAAACTGTATTGAACTAGAACCTAGAATAAAGTCATTGAGGGACTCAGCAACTGTTTATTCATTTCTAAATGAGGCTGAATTTAACTCACAATATGATGCAGAACATGTGAAATAATACTTGTGAAATACACCATAAGATGCAGAACATAGAAATATTTGTAAAAAAATAAATATGGTTTGAAAATTTATTTTGAATTAGAAATAGTACAACAAAAGAAGAAAACATCATGCAAACAAATTAGCATATATTAAAAACAAAGAATATTCCTATAAAACTTACTTTCTAGTCTATATTTTCTCCTTCATATGTGAATATCTTTTCTGTTATTAATGTATTATTGTTATAAACACTTTGGGAACTATGAAAGCTAAGAAAAGTGATATACTGATCATCTGATAAGTATTATAACGTCCATTAACTACTGTTATTATAAAAGTCAATAGTTAGTCAAATATAAATGACTCAGTTCTTATCTGAGAGCACAATATCAACTCCGGACTCTGGAATCAGATCCTGGCTCTACTATTTCCTAGCTGCGTGGCCTTGGACAAGTTGCTGACCACCTTTAAGCCTACGTTTCCTCTTCTGAAAAATGGGCATTATAATAATCCCTAGTTTATAAGGCCAGGCATTTGGTAGGTACTCAATAAATAGTACTGCTTATTATTTAATTGACTGATAAGGCTGAAATGACTTAAAATTAGGTACATTTCTTTATAAAGAGTTTAGTTATTTTTTTAGTATGGTATTAATTTGGGGAAGGTAATTGAAATATCTAATTGTACTAAATCATTTAAGTTCAGTAGTAAAAGCTAGAGTGTTGTTAGAGTTTAGATGTGGTATCCCTCAAAAGCTCGTGTGTAAGAGAATGCAAGAAGGTTCAGAGAAGAGATGATTGGGTTGTGAGAGCCTTAACTGAATCAGTGATTTAATCCCCTGGTTGGGATTAACTGAGTGGTAACTGAAGGTTGGTAGGAATGGTTGGAGAAGTTGAGACACTAGGGGGCGTCGCTTTGGGGCATATATTTTGTATCTGGTGAGTAGAGTCTCTCTCTGCTTCCTGATCACCACGTGAGCTGCTTCCCTCTGCCACACTTTTCTGCCATGATGTCCTTCCTTACCTTGAGCCTGAATTAATGGAGCCAGCCTTTTATGGACTAAGACCTCTAAAACCATGAGCCCTCCAATAAACCTTTTCTCCTCTACAATTGTAGTATTGGGTCTTTAATCACAGTAATGAAAAAGTTGACTAAAACAAGTATTTTTTAAATTTCCTTCTTTACAACTTATAAATTTAAGTCACATCATAGTGGTTGAAAATCCATGCTGCACCCTCAAATCTGGAGGTTTAAATCAGGACTAGAAAATTCTAATGTTCCCTGAAGCCAGAACTGTAAAGAAGTGTAGAGAGTCAAATTAGAATATGAGACTGAGTGCAGACAGCATTCAGATTTTTAAAAAAGATTAAAAAAAAAAAGAAAACTTAAGATTACTTTGTATAGTAGCATGCCAGTTGCACCCCTAAAAATGCATTCTAGTTTCATGACTTTCCCATACTGTTCAAAATTTTTAAATTTGTTGTTATGATATGGTGTATATGGATCAGAATCTAACTATCCATTTGAACAACCAAATCAAGTTTGAGGTTATAGGTGATTTATTTGAATACTCCCCAGTGGTAGACTTCAGATATCTTCAAATTTTCTCCATTAAAAATGATGTCACAACAAACATCCTTTTATATATATCCTAGTACATTTGTAAGAAAGTATTATGATAAATTTCTAATGAAATTGCTGCTCAAAACATATTCACACTCTAGTTTTTAAACATAAAGAAAATATATCATTAGAATTATTTTTAGCCGGGTAAGACAGTGCACATATATGACCCCAGCAACTCAGGAGGCAAAAGCAGGAGGATCACAAGTTCAAGGCCAGCCTCAGCTACTTAGTAATACCCTGCCTCAAAATACAAGGGTAGAGCTGGGGATATAACTAAGTTGGTAGGTGCTTAACTCATATGCATGAGGCCCTGGGTTCAATCATCAGCACCACAAAAAAAAAAAAAAAGAAAAAGAAAAGAACAAATAAATAAATGGGATTGAGACATATCTAGCTCAGTAGTAGAAAGCCCCTTGGTTCAATACCCAGAACCAAAATAAATATATAAGAAAAAAATTACTTTTAAATGCTTTCCTATTCCCAAAATGTTTGGAAAATCACACATGTCCAGGCCTGGTATTCTGTGATATAGTCTAAAAATAGAAATTAAAATCAGGTTAAAGATTCACTTGTTTCTCCCAGACCACTTGTGCTGCTAGGTTATAGACTCTAATCCATCCTTACTCCTCTGAACATTTACAGAGTATTTTTCTTTCTATTAATCAAACTGGGATGCATTTCTTTGATGGACTTACCTGGCCATATAAAATATGCAAATTTTCCTGGTTCCCATAAAAAATGTTATAGGTCTTCAATAAAGAATGAAGCTGTTCCCTAAAAAAATTAAAATAAATAAATATTACATTCTGTTGCTATTGGTGTTAGGCTTTGTAACAGCAAAAAGGCAATTTATTATCTCTAGGTTTCTAGAAAAAAAAATGGTTCAATGGAATCTTTCATTTTTCTGTCACTTTAACTTAATGTAAGTCTTGGAAAGCCAAAGCACTGTTAAAACATTAGCAGACACTGAAGATGCTAATGCATAAATAAAACCAGACAAGAGAAATGACTGAGGCAGGTGAGGTAAGGAGAGCATGCTATAGAAGGAGGTGCCCATGAAACAAATTTGGTTTCACATTTTTGTTTTGTTTGGGACATTTAACGAAGCTAAACTTAGCACCTATATTCCTAACACATTGTCCTTCCCACTGGTGCTACAGAAAGGGTTAAGGAATTGTCCCTGCTGCTGAGTTGTCTTACCCTTAGTGTCAAGTGGGCTGTGGCAGGTTCCAGCCACACTCCTATCCTCCTGTGTCCTTCTGTGTCCTCACATTTTAAAGGTTTATTGTCTCTCGCTTGGGTTACTGCAATGGCCTCCTAAGCCTATCTGTTTTGTATTCTTAACAGCTTAAGTTATTTTAATGCAAACTTGACCATCTTTCTCCTTTGCTCATAATTTTCCAGTGGCTTCCCATTACTTATAATAAAATCTAACATTCTTAAATTAAATTAAAAGGCTGGATGGCATCTGCTCTCTGTTACCTCTTCCCTCTCACTTCCTACTACTCTTTCCTTCACTTACTATATGCAGTCTTAGGCACACTCCCATCTCAGGTTTTGATCTTGCAGATCCCTTTGCCCAGAATGATGCCCTTCCCCACTATCACATCACTCATTCATTAGTTAACTATTTAATCAAAAGTATCCTTCTCAAGAGTCTTTCTTGACTACCGAATCTGAAAAGTTTGCCTTCTCCCATCATTTCAGATCCTGTTTGCCTCCTTTACCTCCTTTGCCTCTGCCTTGAGTCATCATCTAACCTTCTATAAATTTTACTTAGTTATCTTATGCTCTGCCTTCTCCTCTAGAGCATAGCTTTCTGAGGGTAGAGGGTTTGTTTGCTTTATTTTTTTTCACTTGGCACATAGTAGGAACTCAACAAATTCTGATTATCAATATATTCTCTTCCTAAAAGACAGTGACAAAGGGAGAAAAAGCTTTTGTTATAGAAGCATCTTTTATAGGAAAAAAATCCCATGACATTAAAATTCCAAGTACTTCAACTGTCAAAAATCCCTTTGATCCCCAAATATCTGTCTCCTTCTCCTAAGCCCATTGGCTCCATGAGGGCAAGCAGTTTGGTCTCTTTGGTTCACAGCTATGTTCTCCATGCTTTGAACAGAAGCTTGATCATAGTGTGCTCTTATGCAATCAATAGTGACTGAATATTAAATGACAAAATTCATATACATTGATTTTTCATGTTAGAAATCATATGAGCCTACATTCTATACTGGATTTTTCCTTCTTGGAATTTTCAGTGTGCACATTTCCAAGGATCAATACCCTCCATACAATTACCACATGAAAAGATTCTCCAGAAGTCCTCCATGCTGCTGTTTCATTTCCCAACAGGGTTACTCTAAATTTTTAATGTTAATGAATATTTCTATTCTAAATATCATTGGGTGCACTGATTTTTCTTCCCTCAGGGTCATTACTGTGGGATATTTGCTTAAAAAAATGCACTACTTCTAAAGAGCCTCTGAGCACTTTTATGGCTCTCATTATTTAGTGCTAGAGCATCACACAGAAACTTCAGTTTCACTTGGGATGTAACTCCTGATATGCTGAGCTGTGAGGGTTGTTATGAAAGCAAATGAACTTTTACATAATCTTATTCCCTCAGCTTCTGCTTCTGAAAAAATTTCATAACACGGTATAGCACAAGTCTCCTTCAAAGTATTTTCCCCAGGACTTTGTAAGTTGGAAAATGTTTCTGTTCCTAAACAGAATCTGACTAAAAGTTTTTCCACTGAAATGAGTCTCCAAATGACCCAGGGAGTTAGCAAACTGTGGTCTTGGGCTGCCTGGTTTTGTAAATAAAGTTTTATTGGAAGCTAGCCACACTAATTTGTTTGCTTATTGTCTATATGGCTGCTTTCCTGCTATAATTGCAGAGTTGAGTGGCTGAGATAACCACTGTGTGGTCCACAAAACCTAAAATATTTATAATCTTGCCCATTGCAGGAAAAGCCTGCCAATCGATGTTCTACTGTATAACACAGGGTAACTGGACACCACAGAAGTCTTCCATATTTTCCTACCACAAAGTAGAATCTTTTTTATTGAGTATACATAGCACTTGGAAAGATTTTGGAGTATAAGAGATGATTAGAATTCAGTAAACTCAAGTATTAAAATAAAATTAGGTACATTAATGGTGTAAGAGTGAGGGATTAGAAAATTCAGAAGTCATGTAAACATCAATAGCAATGGTAGATACATTCCAAAAATGTCTTGTAATTGTATGTGTGTTATCAGACTTGAAGATGATTGTTTTATATACCTGATGGAATAGCAGGTCGAATATAACACTGGGAATCAAATGTGCCCATAACTTTCTAATTTGACTTGCTGGCAACTGGAGGTATGAGGAGCTGAAGAGTTACTGTCAAATTGATCACCTGTGTCTGCTGACTAATTTTAATTATGCCTGATAACAAAAGGCCCACACTAATGGTCATTCATTCACATGGGGTCACTGTGTAAGCACACTTGAGGAGCCTCATTCATACGTAGAAAGAGGGTAAGAGTTGATACTACCTACTATGAACCTTGATGGGTAATAACAAGAAGAGTGTCAAGAGTTCATTAGGCAAGGGAAACAACACGCACAACATATCATTATTTCTATAGTTTGTGAAGAAAACTCAGAAAGTTGAGAATCTAAGAGTATGACATGTGAAGTGGGGAATAGTGAGCAATGAGCACCAAGAAGCATCTTGAGAAACTTAAACTTCATTCTATAGGACACGGGCAGCTAAGCTAGGGAAGGTTTTAGGCAATATAAAAATAGGATGCTAGTAAATCCATTTGGTAGTGTGTGGAAGCTGGATTTCAACATAAAACAAGATGGTGGCAGTAGAGTGAGTGAGAATATTTCAACATTTGGACAGAGGTGTAGGAGTAAGGCTGATGTTCCATGGAAAGACAATGGGATGTCCCACATATATGGAAGGATCTAAAGTCTGGAAGAAACCTAAAGTAAGTATAGCATAAGAATTTATAGTTAGGAGATTTAAAGTATCATCAAGGCAGTTTCTTGTCATAAAAAGGGGACATTGATCTAATATATGCTAGTAGGGTATGTCAGTATTAATTTCAACAGAAATTTCAGAGCCACTTAAATGGACCCCCTCCCATAAAAGAAAAAAAAATCTGTGCATCTTTCTCCCTCAGCCCCTAAAAAGTTCCTCACCCAGCATAGACCAGCTGCTTAGTACAGGCTGCTCAGTTGCTCTAACAAAGGTTTAAAATGGTTTCTGGTATTCTCAGTTTATAAACTTGAGATTTCTAGAAGTAATAGAATGAGACATGAGGAAATGGACATGAGGTTCAAACATACTTTACATGTGACACATGAAAAAACTGATTTCCTAAGAAAAGATCCATTTTCTCTGAAACACAAAATATCCTATCACAACATATAAGGATTTTTTAAAAAATCATCACCCACTCTATCATGGACATGGTGTTTTTACCTGAGGAATGCCAAACTTCCATATATACTGAATTTCTAAATGATGCACAGACTCATAAGCTTCTCTTAGGATAGAAGTTGGCACTTTGACACTGGCTGTACAGGAGAGGATTCTGATGGATGCTCAGAATTCTTGATCAGAGCCTCTTGCAGAGAGCTAGTCTAGGAGAGACTTGCCACTGGGTGGCAGGTATAGGGAGGGATGGAGGAAATCCCAGAACCTCTGTTCTTTTAAGCTCCTGTTTGGTTTTAATGAGTAATAGTGGACCCAGAACAACAAACCATAAAATGCTTAGGTGTACTTTGTACTGTGGCTTGAAATGCAGCTGCTCAACAGATGGGAACCACCACATTCTGATGTTTGCCATGAATAATACATTTAGTGAGAAATGAGTTCCCCAATCTCTTTCAGGCTATTTAGCTGTCTAGAAGAAACAATTTTTATTTGATTTTATAAACCTGTTAAAAAAACATGAGCATGGGACATGATGATAAATGGAAGTGAATTATGCCTCACATCTATAGATAGACAGATGTCAAATATCAGTTGTAATAAGAGTTTTTCCTCTTATTTTTATAATGATTAGCAACATAATTAAATGGCAATTGTATTTCTTGCCTTGAAATTAAAAACCACTGTTCCACTCTTGATTCTTAAGAATTTAGACCTCCTATGGGCAAAACACAAATATCACATGTGGTAGGTAACTCAACACAAATTTCAAAGGCTGCTGAATGATGCAAATAATCTTCAGGAGAAAATATGACTAATCAGGGCCACCAAAGGCATATTTTGCCTTTGCTACACTTGGCTGTCCTTCCTGAGTTTGTTACTTCTGCTTCTTGGAGACTTGCTAAAAAATGTTCATGGTTCAAGATGAGCTACATAGTGACAGCAGCAATAGGAACAGCATTCTGCTGTGTGTGTTGCCATGTTTAGAACAGAAACCCAAAACTTTCTCCTAGAGTGTCAACAAATTAAAAAAAAAAAAACTTATTCTTTTGCACATTTAGATTTTCTACCCCCAGCCCTGGATTTTGTTCATGATGTTAAATTTTTAGCAGTGAGATGATTCAACAATTTCATGTTAGCTACCAAAAGCTGAGTTTAAAATTTTCTGTTTTTATAAATAACTATGAACTATACAAATAAAGTTAACAAGATGAGTATATGCTGGGATTAAATTTTTGATTTTTGTGTGTTGTAATTCTGTATACTTTCCAAACTATGTAGTAAGTATGTCACACTTTCTTTGTATTTTTTTCATAATTTAACAACCAAAAAAAACAG